TAAGGAATTATTGACTTGAAACAACCTTCTATACTGTGCTGAAAAGTTACTTTAAGTTAGTCTTATCTTATTTTAAGTGTACTATGATATTTGCACTAGAAACTGGACCAAAATATTTGTGTTTTTGCAGTGCAGATGGTGACTGGACATGAGCCAACCAGCAGGTTGCAGAAACGGATTGCTGAAAATTGTCACAAAATAAACTAAAACAGAACATCACATGTTAAGAAAATAGATGGAAATGAACTGTTGAGAAATTCAATTTTCAAAGGAAGTGATGAAGGAAATTTGAGAAAGAGGGGAGAAGTAAAACAATCAGGACTCCGCTCTCACATCCTGAGCCCTCCAGGAGGAAAGAAACAAACAGATAAAGAGGAGCAACAATAAAGGAAAGATGGATTGCAGCATTTCCAAACACCAACAGGCTTCCAAGGCAGGAAGAGGAGGGAGGAAGACATCCTCTAACACAGAGAGGAAAACAACATATTGCCTCCTCTGGTCCACATCCCACTATTCTGAGATCTGAAGCCCAGTAGGTAATGTGTTGTGCTTGATCCAGCGGCTCTGAAATGATTTTTCCCCCTCTGACAGACTCCCTAAGCTGACTCCTTCAGAGAAGTTCAGAGACACTTTGAAATGCGGCTGGGCTGCTGCAGAATATATGCATAGTGCCAGATCAACATGTTTAAAGCTGGATCCCCAGCGCTGAGATTAGCCGGATTCCCTCCACACGGGAAATTGCCTTGGCTGGGCTTCTAATCAGAAAACTCCTCCGTGCAGCAGCGTGACAAATGTGACTTCAACCTGGGTAAATGTTCATGCTCAGAGTGGGGGGTGGGGGGGTAAAAATGTAAGTTTGTTGCATTATTTGGAGTTTCTGCAGAAAACGAGACGGAGAACTCAACAAATCTGAGGCGGGCTCACTGGGCTGATGGAGGCACCGCTGTGTTTTGCTACGACATCAAAGCTCGTTGGTATTCCTGGACGATAAACTGCAGCTACGCTACAGCAGAGGACAAGCATGACAGACACACCCACAAAACACAAAGAAGGAGTAATGTGGCGAAAAGAAGGCAGAAACTTCACAGCCTGTGACAGGACGGAAACGATTAATCAGATTAATTGTGATTAATCAGTTATTTAAATGATAATCAAATGATTTAACAATCGATTAATTGTTAACTGGAGTACACAAACTCAAAAAAGGCAATTTACTGAAAGAACCACATACAGAGCAGTAATTAAGCCAAAACTGTACAAAATATTTTTATATATTACATCTAAAATAAAAAACCCTGTTTGTAAATCTGTTCTACCCAGAACTCCTTAAGTGGAAGAGCTTTATGTTCACCTGGTGCAAAGTCTGTAAAAGAAATCTTCTATTAACACCTTTAGCTATCCAATTAGTAATCCAAAAATATTAGCACTGAAACGATTAATCAGATTAATTGTGATGAATCGATTACAGACGTAATCATCAAATTATTTAATAATCATTAACTGGTTAAGATTTTTTTAAGATATTGTTGGTTTTTATGCAAAAATATTTCCTATTTAAAAAAGGAACTGAATTATTTGTTTATTTGCATGTTTTTATGTATTTCTAAAACGATTAAGCAATGAAATGAAAAATCTGCAGAACTGATATTTCATCAGATCACTCAATTAATAATTAGAATAACTGATATTATTCTAAGGAATAATACCAATTACAGATGTAAAGATGTGCAAGAACAGCTCCAAAACTTAGAATACCCTGGAGGATGATGATTCCTGTTTGTTTATGCATGCCTGGGTAGTTTCCACCGAGCCATTCCACTTGATTTATTGTGCATATGAACTTCTCTCTGTGTCTGCATTTGGGTCCTCAAATCACGTCCATATAACAATAGGAACATTTGCATGTAATTAAGCTTAGTAAGGATTAGTATGGAGCGCAACCTGAACTTGAGGAACAGAAAAAGAATTTGAATTGCTATTGGAAAAGCTTTAATAAGCTCTTTGTACATCAGCAGCATCCTGTCACTGGACTGACCTTTTAAGAAATTAAAAGGCCAAAGGGATACAACGCTGCTAATACACGTTTTGACTTAAAACCAACTAATAAGATCTAAAAGATCCATTCTATAATGATAACAACCAGTGCAAATAAGCAAAGATGTCACAAAAACATGGGCTGGCTTAACTATTACAGTCATTAAGTCTGGATTAAATAGTTATTTTTAAAGGAACTAGTTTTGACCATTGAGATTATCTGAATGCCAAAATAATTTGAACATTCAAAAGTGACTCCAAAAGATAATTTCTGAACATTTCCAAATGGCCAAGTTCACCACAAAGAAAAGAGGGAAAGTCATAAAGCTTTAAAGTACGACTCCTTCACTGTTCTTTGACTTTAAGAAAGCTTTTAGACATTAATGCCTTTAAATACCACAGCATAGCAAAGGCCTTTCAGACTTTGGTGTTGAGATGCACTGATTGCAGGTTTCTGGTAGATCAATAATTTTTAAAACAGCCTAACCTGCTGATTCAGATTTTGGCCGATACAAAACTTTTTCTTGTCTGAAAAGTCACTAAATATAGCAATAAAATCACCAAGTTGGCATCAGGTGGGAGACTATTGTTATGTGATGGATAAGAGTGATTTCTCATGTAAATACTTTTTGACAGGAGGATAGATTTAGGCACCAGGAATTGAAAGATTATGCTTGTGAAGTGCAAGATCCAACTAGGACAATAAAAGTGCAAGACCAAGAATTGACCCTTGCGGGACTCCACTTGTTACAGAAACAGGAAAAGGACGTCACAGTCAAGGGACTACAATATCATTTAGCCATGTATTAGATATTTTAAAATAGTTTAAAAAGCGAGATGCACACTGGACAGGTTGCCAGATCAGTGCATGGCAACACACAACAACACACACATTCACATCAATTTAGAGACCAACCAATTAACTAAACAGTTGTGCTTTTTCACAAGAGGAACAACACAAAAAGCCCATGCACAGACCCTAGGCTGGGATTTGAACGTACAACCTTCTTGTGTTGCAAGGCAACACTGCTACCAGCTGCTCCACTGTGCAGCCCTGGTTTTAATAAGCATGTTGATGATAAATAGCTATACTTGTATATGTAACAGCTTGTCTATTAACTGCGTATGGAGCATCTTTTGGTAACACTTTATTTGAAGGGAGGTGAATAAGACTGTCATGACACTGTCATAAACATGACATAACATATGCCATGAACATGAATAAGCCTTCATGAATATTTATGACTGTTGTCATAAAACGTCATTTGGTAAATTATGACACTTTTAATACAAAGTTGACATTATTGAAAATATCTTTGTTATGACAACTTGACATTAACCAAGAAATCATTACTGATATAAATTTGTTATAAAAGTATTACTGATTGCACTTTAAAAATTAGGTAACTTTATGTTATTAAAGGTAAAGTTTAAACTAATGATTTCTTGGTTAATGTCAAGTTGTCATAACAAAGACATTTTGAATAATGCCAACTTTGTATTAAAAGTGTCATAATTTACCGAATGACACTTTATGACAAGTCATAAATATTCATGAAGGCTTATTCATGTTCATGACAGGTGTTATGTCATGTTTATGACAGTGTCATGACAGTCTTATTCACCCTCCTTCAAATAAAGTGTTACCCATCTTTTTTCAGTTCATGTCTTATCTGTTAACCTCTCAGTCTGTTTCTCTTCATTCTGTCTTCACAAAATCAAAGGGAAAATGTGAAGCTGTGATCTGATACTTTGGCAAAATCGTCTCTTGAACTTAAGACGGGCTAAGCCCTCGACAAAAATGACAGACAGCAACAAACAAGACGTAAAAAAGGAACAAATTGTCCCACTTGACTGCGTCTGAGTTTGTGGTGTTCAGCCAAATGTTTTGTCAGCAGAGCTCCAACACCCGCTGACACATTGCAAATGAAAAGATAAACTCCTGATGACTGAGTTTATCTTCATGCATAGCACAGCACATGCCGGAAAGGAAATGGAGTCTATACGAATGCAAACCTATGAAAATAAAATCATGTCTGATGATTACATTCATAGTTTTTAATAAATAAAAATAAACCAACCCCTATGCTGTCCTCCTGTCTGTACTGCTTCCAGTTGTGTCCCGTGTCGCTGAACATCAGTTGGTAAGACGTCAGCCAATCAGAGCTGCCATAGCGGCCCTGAGTGGCGACAGCTGTGATCTTGGTTCGCTCACCCAAGTCGACCTCCAGCCACTGATACCTGTCCGAACTAAGAGGAGACCAGCCTCCAGCGCCTGCAGAGAGGGGGAGAAAATAGCAAGAGACGTGTGATTTATTAGGTTTATCTGCGCAGGAGGACATGAAATATGTTTGTGTAAAAACTAAAATAATAAATCATCTGGCTCAACCTCTCAGCTAAATTCAAACTCCTACCCTACAACCAGAACGATGAAAATCGATAAAAACTTCAGCGAAGACCTTAAAATTAATTTTGTGTCTACAACAACCAATAAGTTGTGCTTTAAAACCACAACACCAACTGGAATTTGTTCCATTTTGGTCACTGCAGGTATGCTAACACGCTAAGTATGTGACTAGTTAGCATGTTAGCAGGAGGAAAAAAACAGTATAACATTGTACAAAAGTTGAAAGAAAATATGTTTTTAGATTCTTTTTTTATTTGAGTAAAACTTCTGGTGTCATGCTAACATACTAGTTAGCATACCCTTAGTTAGCACAAAATATGTTTGCGTAAAAAATGATAAAATAATAAATCATGAAACTCAGCCTCTCAGCTAAGTTCAAACTCCTACATTGCGACCAAAACAATAAAAATTGATAAAAACGTCAGTGATAAAAATTTGTTAAATGTCTGTAACAAGTAATAAGTAGCGCTTTAAAAGACAACACCAACTGGAATTTGTTCCTTTTGATTGCTGCAGTTATGCTAACAGGCTAATTATGTGACTAGTTAGCAAGTTAGCAGGACACCACAACTAAAATAAAACAAAGACCATATTAAAAAAACCCACAGTACTGGTGTGACATTTTATGAGAGATGAAAGAAAGTCATACTATTTTAGGTTCTTGTTTTATTTGATTAAATCTGCTGATGTCATGCTAACATGCTGGTTAGCATATTCCTAGTTATCTATCCATTGGTTTGACTCCCAACCTTGTGATCTTTTCTCTCTTACCCATTTTATTTCTGCCCATATCCTTACTAATTACAAGCAGCAAAGCAAAAAAAGTAAAACACAACAGAAAGGTAAATGTCTTGAGTTTAGTTTTATTGAACATAGTTTCTTGTTCCCTTGTTTATATTTTTTACAAGAAACAAAAGTTTTAACCCACTGATATTTTTTTTTTCAGTGGTTCTAATTCTCTTCTCAGAGAAAGCTTGGAGAACTATTGATCAAAACCAATTTTAAAAATTAAAAGAAACAAAACAATGTATAACTTAAGCCATTTGTATAAACATCTACATGAAAAATGTAATTTTTAAGAACGTATGTCAATGTATTTTTCTTGCTGAGTGTCAAGAAATCTTTTGTTTTGCTGTTTTGTGAACTCAAATAATAAATTAGTTCTTCATTGAGTACCATATAAAAGTAATTAACATTTTAAAGCAGCACAGATGTCTGAATTTTTCCTCCCTTGTCTAATATTTTTTTTTTAAAGTATTTTTAGCTAAATTTGTTTCCAATCCTCTTCAGTCTGGAAGGAGTGAACAAGAACAATCAGGTTGTATGAAGATTAATAGCTAAGCAAAACATTTTGTTAACTTATAAACTGAGTTGAAATGTACAAGAAGCATCAAGTTAAAGGTACTGATGTAGATCAATTTCACCAACACACTGACAGTAACCTGAAAACCTTACAGCTTGCAGCAGCTAGGTGATTTAATTTCTCATGAAAATCAATGAGGAGCATTGATTAGTTTTACAGTACCTCCTAACGTGAGTATCCTTCCTCATGTTGAATGTCATCAATAAAGAAGCTGTGCTGCGATTCATGCTGACTGCTTCCATGCTGGATTTCCCAGGATGAGAAGTTTTCCCACACAAATAAAAACCGAGATAAGAGTGTGAATTATTGAGACGTGAGAAACAGATTTGCAGGAGTTTTGAAAAAATTTCTCCCAGCAAGCTGCTGAAAAAGCAGCAATAAAACCAGATAAGCATGAATAAAACAGGATGCAGGCTGGTTCAGTTCAAGTTAGCTGAGCGTGTTTGCTGCAGGACAGTAAAATCTAAAAAATAAAAACAGTTGGTTTGTTGTCATTTGTTATTATTATTTATTAGAAGATTATTATTGCTGTTTTATTGACATTATTATCATTAGTTTTTTTCTGTCATTTTATTATTGCTATTGTATTTGTTGTCATATAACACACATTATGAAAATTTACAGGGTGCACTTTGGCAAGGAGTTGTTATTTACAACTGCTATTATTATAATTATAATTATTATTATCATGGGTCAGTAGATTTAGAGTTAGTTTGCAATAATTTTGTTTATGTAATCTCATTTATTTGTTTGTTCTTTAGGATAGTATATTACACAGGCATATCAATACCATAGCATGGTTTTAATTACAAGTTTCTGATAATTACTGAGTGATATATCTTATTAAATTGAAATAGGATTAAATAAGTGTTCACTTCTTAGCTTCATTGTCTTTTTCAAACGGAAAAGTAGTGGTAAGCTAATTATTTTGTTCTTGGTTTATGTATTCACATTTTCTCTTATCCTAATGATTACTTGTTTTCTTGTATTTAAAAACCTGTTGGAAATAAATAAATCTAAATGCAAAATGTGTGCGCGTGCGTGGAAAATATTTAGTCGGGCCAAAACGATGACACACAGAGCTTAAACACCAGATGGACGGATTCTGCAGACCAGAAACCCACTGAGCCCACACACACACACACACACACACGGACACACACGCAGGCTCATAAAACGAGCGGCACAAACACACTCAGAGGGACTTCTTTCGCTTTTTGCACCTTGGAGCCGGTTCTCTCACAACCTGCTGCTCTTTACCTGAAAGAACATGATAAAAAAAAATCCCTAAAAAAGTGATAAAATGGATGAAAAACTATATGTATATATTTTCTTTTATTTGTATTTAAACAATATTTGGCAACTTGGTAGGAATATCTAGACCAACGTAGATCAACATGAGTCCACATTTATGTACCCAGATGGCCACAAACCAACTGCTGCGCCTGAAATTATTATCTTTAACTCTTCTGAGGACTGGAGGCAATCTGCTGGCTATGAACCTGTTTTAGTGACAACCTATTTTTAGATCATTTAACACATTATCTCAAGTGGTTTTCAAGTTTGTTTTTGATATATCACTCATAAGAAACACCCTAAGTTCTAAACAGCCAAAGATTATATATTTTAAATAGATATTAATGATCTGCACGATCTCGATAAATAAGGTGTGTCCCGCCACACCCCCAGTACTGAATCTTTAAACTCATCTGTCTGAAGAGAAAGCGCTCATTGTAAGGAAGCCTGACTTGCAAACCTAATGAAAAAAGAAATATATTGTGAAAATATATTTTGTCTTAGAATAACAACATTACCTCTTTGGTTGTACACTGAAGATCTATATTGTATCTGGTTTCTATCTCTGGAAGGGGAAACTTCCAGAGATAGAAAACATAGACACAATTTCTTTCTTTTTAAAGGGGATCTATTATCTATTATAATTTACATTTGTCTCTACTGCACCTAAAAACAGCACAAACGCTTAAAAAAAACTCCACCCAGCTCTTTATTTGGCAATAAGTTATTGTTTTTGGGTGTCTGGAAAATTAGCCATTTCAAAAACCTTCCAAATGTAACACCACCAGTCAGCAGGCACTGCCTGTTACCTAGCAACCCAGTGAAGTTCCACCCATTACCTAGAAACCCAAACTGAACTCCAACACGTTTGGTCAGCTGGTTTTACTGCTGTCTGTGCTGTACAATGGCTGCTGGAAAAGACAAGTGCTTTGTTGCTGACTTGCCATCCAGAAACCACTTAATGCATTCTTGCTGGTTGTGCAAAAGTCTCTACTAATGCTTTTCAAAGCTGTAAAGTTGTATAATTGCACGACTGTGGCTCTGTGGGTAGAGTAGTCGTCTTGCGATCGGAAGGTTGTAGGTTCAATTCCAGCTTCCTCCTGCCATGTGTTGACATGCCCCTGGGCAAGGCACTTAACCTCAAATTGCCTACTGATCTGCATACTGGTGTATAAATGTGGTGTGAGTGCGAATGGGTGAATGTGACTCTAGTGTAAAGTTCTTTGAGTGGTCAAAATGATTGGATAAAGTGCTATATAAGTTCAGTCCATTTACCATCTGTTTGTGCAGTTAGTGTAACTGTTAATGTTGAGTTAAGGGGGGCGTGGCCAGGAGCAGTTTATTGGGATTTAAAGGGACAAGACACCCTGAAACACCTCAAAATAGACATAACTGACCAGAGTAAAACTGTATATTTAAGAATGATTTTGTGCAAAAAAAAGTCTTAATTAACATGTTTTGCAATGTTAACCTTCCTGTTCAAGAAAGCATAATAGGTCTTTAACAGACAGGACACAGTGAGTAACGTATACTGGTTGTTTTTACCCGTTACTAAATCTGTATTTGCTGATGTGTTTGCTGATGCAGGGACTCTCAGTTTGTGTGTCATGTAAAGCTGAAGGCAGCAACAGGTTGAACTACTGATGTTTCTGCCAGTGAGACGTAGCTGTGATCGCTGTGTGACAGGCAGAGAACAAAAAGCAGTGAAAATGAATCAGCGTCGGTCGGGTAGCCGATCTCTAAAGAGCTAAAGGCCAGAGCTAATAACCACTTGACTAAAAGACGTGTTCGGTGGCAGCAGAGAAGAAAAGGGCAGACACTCTGACCTTTCCACATGGCGATTAGACTGTAGAGGAAAGGAGAAGGAGATTAAAGAAAAACAACTTGGGGAATGAGAGGCGTATAGAGACTCTATGTCCTCTACGTCAGAATAACTGCGACTAATATAATGGAGGTGAACCTCCGGTGGACGGTCTGAACACTTCAAGTCATGGCTGTCGCTTTAAATCAGAGAGATATCTTTGGCTCCTTTCTCCCATGTGTCTGTCAAGGTGGCAGATGCAACCACCCACAGCTGAAAGTGAAGATTAATGGAGGTCAGGACTGTGACATCACTACTCTGAGGGCCGAACTGCAGCCTGAAAAATCCTGCCACCTCAAGCTCAATCGTTTCAATTCACTGGATAATTCAGTATTAAGAGTATCAAACCGGTTCAGACCGGTTTTTTTCTTCAGGATGTTTCACTGACAGCCTGTGAGAAGAATGTTAATCTTTAAACTGGTTTTAGGATTTAAAACTACATTCTGCATTATTATAGTGTAGAGCATTGAGCTACAATGTTGCTATGGCAACGTCAAGAGAGCTGTTGATACGTGAAATCTGGAAAGTCCATCCATCCATCCATCCATCCATCCATCCATCCATCCATCATTTCATCAACCATCCATTGTTTCATCATCCATCCATCCATCCATCCATCCATCCATCCATCCATCCATCCATCCATCCATCCATCCATCCATCGTTTCATCATCCATCCATCCATCCATCCATCGTTTCATCAACCATCCATCCATCCATCCATCCATCCATCCATCCATCCATCCATCCATCCATCCATCCATCCATCCATAATTACTCCACCAATTAACAAAAAGTCCCCATGACACAAAACTAAATAAATATTTTACTAAATATTTTTTTAACGTTGAGGTTATTTTGTCATAGTTTTATTTATTTATTTTGTGGTTTATTTCTTAATTAATTTCATTATGGTGTTTTATTTTGTATACATTAATGACAGCATTTATTTTATTTTGAATTAAACAGCTATCAATTCAGTAACTATGATAAACTGCAAACATTAGATGAACTGAAACTATTTATTCTGCTTCTTGTTATTGTAAACATGTGAAATAGATGCAGATATGTTTTACAGATATGAAATGTTAATCATGCTGCACAATGAGCCGTCGTGGAGGTCAGAAAGGATAACTGAATATGAACGTCAACAACCGATTCGTCGGCTGTTCTTACACAGCCCCAATACACAGGCTTCAATTAAACTTTAATTCAGCCTTCAAATCTCTGAGGGAAAAAGATTACTCTGGCGCAGCAATTCTTTTCAAGTCATATTTCGGCATAATTGTAGCAGAGTCACTGATAACTGTCAGCTTTGCCTACAGAAGAAAGAAAATGTTTAAACATGAAGAGTGCTATTAACATTTGGCAAGAGGACAGCGCCGGCTAAATTAGTTCCTGCTAAAGAAAATGGAACTTAGCGTAGAAGGAGCAGAAGATTGACACATACACTTTGGGGCCAACAAAAGGAGAAGGAGAGGCGAATTAGGGGGATAAAAATAAAAAAAATAAAAACAGGAGGTGAGGTAAAGCTGTGCGATCATGTTTTACGGGTCCAAAGCACTTTGGTTTAAAAGGGAAAATCATTTAGAGATATCATGTTCAGGTATCAAGCGTGGATTACATAACACAGAGTTTGTACACTTTTCTCACAGTAAATTCAAACACTTTTCAAGCATTTTCAAAGTAAGTTTTCAAACTTTTCCAGCACCACACTGTAAAAAACTGAAAAGAAAACAATGTCTCTAATTTACGGTAAAATACCAGTAGCTGTGGTTTCCTTTTTTTTTTTTTTTACAGTGCACACTTTGGAGTTAAAAGCAATATAAATGAATTAAGAAAACAGCTTTAATTCACTATTATGTGATAACATTTATTACTGTTATTAATAACAGGAATATAACTGTATTCTACATATAAGAGACAGAATAAACTAAAATATAACAAAATTATATGTCTTGAAATGTCTAACAAACACGCCTTGTGTGATCCAAGAACAAAACATTATTCAAGCATTAGTTTGCACTTTATTACAAAACTGTTTGAAGATCAAGAACTTTCAGGGACTTTATGTAGACATCACGCACTTTCCAAACCTTGAAAACACCTGATTGAAACTCAAGCATTTTCAAGGATTTCAACACCCGTACTAACACTGATAACAAAACTCTTCTAATGTTTGTAGCCTTAGTGAACTCAGAGGGCGTTCCTCAGAGAACAACTGGTGAAATCTGAGCTTTGACAGAAACAGCAGCAGCAGGAGGAGGAAATGGAAATAAGAAGAGAGAAATCCATCTATTCATCAGCTTCCTCAACAAACAGCAGGGTTTGCTCCCTGGGATCCTGCATCAGTAACTTCTTTATCTGCTGACTTCAAATCAGAAGAGCCAGATTCAGATCCAGCTAGACGTCCTGGAGATCCTCCGTCTGTCGGATTTTACAGCTTACAGACACATTTCAGGTACAATTCTTCACATGTTTTCCATGTGAATTGAAAACATGTGAATGTTCCAGGTATTACCTGATTTGGGTAAGAACAACCTCTAAAGATTACTGTTTTATACTCTGCTGTTTGCTGTAATTCTTAAAATTTTGAAGAACTTTGTATTTTCTGTAAAATGACTGAGAAAATGTAATTGAAATAAACTTAAGTGGGTAAAAATAAACCCTTAAATAATCTAAAAATGTAAAGATAGATAAATATACAGATCTATAGACAGACATATATACAGATGGACAGACAGACAGACGCCATTGATGATGTCAGCTCCATGTGGCTGGCAAAGAGCAATCCAATCCATGGCCTTCGATCAGATCTTATTGGAATTGGTTGAATGGATCTAAACTGTAATGTAATTGTACATCTATTGTGCTTGAGATGACATTTGCTGTCAATTAAAGCTGAACTGAATTGAATTGATTTGAACTTTAGCGACCCAGTCAGTGGATGTATGAATCTTTTCAGATATAGAGCATTTTTGACCAGTCTTGGTTAATCAAAGAAGAGAAAATGTCAGCTTCATTATAGAAGTAGGCTTTAAAGCAGCAAGTGTCAAGAAAGGGCAACTATAAAAATGAGGTTTTCAGGCTAAGAAAGTACAGGAAGGACTGCTGTGACCTCATTTAATTTACAGCTAACAGAAGCACCGGAGATTTAAACTGAAATTGAATGTTATTTAAGGCTCAGTGAAATGAAAAAGTATTCAAAGTTAAATGGTTCAAAGATATCAGGTTGATGCTTTCTGCCACTTAGAGGCCAAACTTTAAAAAAAGCTTGAAATGGTGTCAGTCTTCTTCATGTTCACCAGGTTTCTGTGTCCCATGCGGTGGGAATGGTTCCGATCCAGGATAAACCTGTCTTTCCTTCCCAGCTGGCTCTGGGATTTGATGTCAGGATGAAGCAGTGAAACAACAATCTTTATTTTGTCAAAGCCGCATTCCCGCTCCCAGTCGGGATTTCATGCTGGACGGGCAAATACTATCCACATTTATCCTCCGTATATAAGCCTTCAGTACAGACAGCAGCAATACAGTGTTGGGTTTTCTTTCATGTTATTTTAAAAGTCACCTTTCAACTTTTATAAACTCAAGAAGAATCTCCTTGATTATGATTAATTGGAGAGGTTTTCTTATGATCCTCTGGTGTTATTTTTATCTTTTGATCATTTCTCTGTTGTTTTATATCTTGACATATTTAATGATTTATTTTGTTAGAATTGTATTTATTTCAGGGTGTCTTTCCCCTTTTATTCTCTTGTTTGCTTATTTTTTCACCTCACCATCCCAACTGTTAATTATTTCTTCATTTGCACCAACCTGCTCTTTCACATATAGCCGGATATCTGAGAAACCAATACATGTTTATGTGTTTTGGGTTTTCATCCACATGAAAACTCTGTATAATATCACTAAAAAAGACTATTTATTAAAACCAAAATTTAGGTTCCTGCGTACTAGTCCGCGACAAATAATGTCCCAATATATCCACATGCTTTTTCTGACATTAGTCCCAATCAACCCTAACTCTTTGAGGCCATTTTCAAGTATAATAGGTTTAATGATGCAATTCTAAAAGATCAAAAAACTTTAAATATTAATAAATATTTAACACTGTAATATTCACTACATATCCACAATAAATGAACAAAACAACCAAAACAACAAAATAAATGAATTATAGAGCACCAGACTGAAAATTTTGTTATACAGTGTTTGGTAGAAAGAGATAGAAACTCAACAAAACATTTATGGAAGTACAAATGATTGAGCACATTTTAATTTATCATGCAATTAATTGATTTATTGCTTGCTGCGATAGGCTTAGTAAAAGCTTTTCTGAAACAAATCCCTTGTGCACAATATTAATATTTATCCAATGTTGTGGAGAAACTGGTTTTCATAAAGTTCTCCACTGGCCATTACAACCTGCCACTGATCTCTGCTGGGATTTTTATGTGAGTTTTTTGTTGGTTTTAATAAACTCTCATGATGTTCATCAACAGCTCCAGTCTACATTTTGGTCCAACCACAAACCCAAACTTCATGACAGGTTTCCATTTAGAAAGAGCAGACCAACAGATCGGTTCTAATACCTCCACAGTGTTGTCTCTATTAGTTACATGTTCTCCACTTCCACACATTTCCTCTCAGAAACACAACAATGCGTCAGGCTCTAGTACTCAAAGCAATTACAGTGCTTTCAGCTTTCAGCCCACTTAGAAACACACACCAGACAAACACAGGCAGACATGCATCATCAAGCGACTGCTGGTGCTCACCGTCTCTCCGGTTGAGCTTGGCGAAACCCGGTGCATGGCTGCTGGACAGCTGGGAGGAGCTCCTGAAGGATGACGGCGGTAGATTGGAAACCAGAGCGCTGTCACACACCTCTGCAAAACAAGAAGGATGAAGCAGAGACTGTTACGAAAATAACTGCAGGTGTTTCTGATGTAATCCTTATACAGAGAGCTTGTTTAAAGCCTTCACGGATTCCATACAGGTGTTGTCAAAAGATAGATCCTTTGTTCATTAAACAAGGAGTTTTGCAGAGGAATTTTCAAACTGGTTAAGTCATGCTTGAAGCTGAAGAGTAGAAATCATGAAAAACCTTTTTCCAGACATCAACACTTCAAAATACCTTCTAACTAGAAAGTTTTTTAAAAAATTGTTCTTTAAATATCAATACAAGTTCTTTCCTGGAGGAAACAACAGAGCCGCCTGTGTTACTTCAGGTGTAAACATAAACCAACGTTCCAACAACGGATTAAAGTTAGCGACGAATGAATTAATCTAAAGTTGACTGATCTTATAAATTGAGTAGTGATTAATTGATAAGTGGAGATCTTCTTAAAAATCTGAGCTTAGCCAAATGAGCGCTATCAAGAGGAAACTTAAAGTGTTAGCTGAGTGTTTATATTTCAAAACAGAACCGCATAAAGTGCATTATGCATCCCACAACGGACTTTGTTTGGACCGTTTCTCTTTCCTAGCCCCGCCATTATTATTTCTGTATTAACTGGCTCTGCTTATAGATAACCAGTGTCATCCTCTGCTGGATGGAGGCCAGACTACAACACTACAATAAGGTCTAAGCAAAGGTTATTAGTTAACTGAACTGACATAATTTTAATCTAATAAACCATTAATCATCAATTAATTGTTTGCATCCCATTTCACTGTAATCCTGGCCAGATTGGGACTAATTTCAATATAATAAACCATTGATTCATAGTTAATCTTAAGTAATTTAACTGCTTGCATCCCTAAATCTAACATCACTGCACTGGTTGAATCAGCACTGTAATATGCATCCCTGCCACTCAAACCTTTAACAGCTCCACCTCCATCTGATAATCTGATAAAGAGGGATTCTTTGGTATTCTGAGGGCGCTTTGATTGCATTTTTCCGGCCAATTTTTAAAAACCCTGACCTGCCGATTCTGATTTCGGTCAATACCAATCTTGTGAATAATTAACACGGTCAGGTGTTGTTGCCAAAGTCCCCAATAGCCCAGAAAAAAGTCACTACATGCATTTTTGAATAAAAAAAAGTAGCTAAAAACAGCAACAAACTTGCTTAGTTAGCAACAATGAGGTGACTATCGAGAACCGTATGTGCAGATGTGACTTGGTGGCAAAAAATCAGGGGAAAGTGTCTGATTTTCAGACTTTTCCAGAGTTGGATAAGATCAGTTGACCGCCAACCACCAAAAATTAAGGAAATCTGTGCTCCTGTTTGACATACTGAAGCCAGCCATGAGTTAAAATCTCTCCAGCACTCCTGGGTCAGCCTCCTCAGGCTTCCTCTTAATGGGAAATGTCTAAGACAGGCATCCTTATCAAATGCCTGAACTTCCCCAGAGCTTCCCCTGAATAGCAAAACCCTCACTCCCTACACCCAAAGGTGAGTTCAAATGTATCAACATTTCCATCCAAGTCAGAAATCAATGACATTTTCAGCTTCCAGAAGCCCTTTTAAACAACCCAGAAACTGAGTTTTGGTTAATGCCAGCTAAGTGAAAACAATCCCTGTTGTTTCTCTTAGCAGGAATATAAACAGTCCCATTGTTCCAAGTCATGAAAGAGAAGACGTCGAAAAATGTGACACAGCTGGAGATGGATTATGGTCTTTTTCCCAGCCGAGGAGAAAGACAGTTAAGTTGTTAAACGCAGCATGATGGGAGCTCACTGGTGCTGAGAAGTCAGACACGTTTATCTCCAAACCATCAGCTTTTTAAATGAAAATAGTTTTATTCAAATTGGTTTAGGTTTAGTCTGTTTCTCAAGCTTTACTCCCTGAAGATAAGAGAACATAAAGGGGGAAAAGAGAGAGGATTTTCAGGAGAGTCCAGTTATAAAAACATAAAGGAATATATGGAAAACCAGGACTGCCAAAGTTGGAAGTAAATGTTGAAATACAGAAATGGCTAAATACAAAAATCACTTTGCTAACAAATGTAATAAACATTGACTCATTAAATCTTTCTGAATATAAAACTTAAAATATAAGCATGTTATTCCTTCACTCTTGTATTTGTTTTGATAATGAATTATTGCATTCACTGTTTTCTTTTCAAAGGAGAAAATGCATCATTAAATGATAAAAAAAAACAGTAAAAATAAAGGCTAGATTTAAAAATATGGAGAATGACACTGATGTAAATTATAACAGTTTATAATTAAATTAGATGCTGCACATTTTAAAAATAAAAAAAATTGCCAAACTTATTTTCGCCATCTTGTTTCACTTACTGCCACAGAACATGTTTCATTGAGTCGTTTAAACATTTTTCTAGATTTTGTCAGCAGAAAAGATCTGTTCTGTTGGATCATACTTTGTCTGTTTTCATGTTTAATTGGATCAAAGATAGAGTGTGTGAAAGGCGACCTTCAGCACCATGAATATTTGTTTTTGCTCTCTCGCTGCTAACCTTAAGCTACATTCAAAAGAACAATGCCTCCCACTGCTGATACAACAGCTAATTACCATGATTCACCCTGCAGAGCGATTTGGGTTCACAACTCTGACAACAAAGCTTCAGGGTTTGATAACTCTGTCAACATCAAGGCACTTACAAGCATTAAGACATCTTTTTGATAATCCCTGCTGCCTGATAATTTGGAAAACTAAAGCATAATATCACACCAGCTTAAGAAACTGTTTTAAGACTTTACAACAGCCAGAAGTTGTTTCCAGATTTCCTTAAGCCTCTAAGCATCAAATATGCGCACTCAGATTTGAAAGGACCAAAATTAACATGATATCAAAGCAGCACAATTTACTTAAGAGTTTATGTTGTAAAACAGAGCAGGACTTCCATATTTCCAGTCAAAACTCCATAGTTTTCCGTTTGATTTATTTAATTAGATCACCAGTCATGACTTACATCAGTCAAAATGTACAGATCGGAAAAATCTGTGGATCATTGTCCTGAACTGACTGTAGATGCTTGAAATCAGTGTTTGTGACCAGCAACACAGAAATTGCTGGTCACAAAGTAGGAAATCAAATGCTCTGTTTGGATTGGAAAATCCAGAATAAGATCCTTAGGTTTGCCTTTAAACACACAAGTTTTTCTCCTGAGCTGGGAATGATCGCTTCTTAGGCAAGTGTTATTAAAAAAAAAACTTACAATTCAGGCAGCTGAATACAGCTGAGTACTTTTCATTAGGAGGTTCTGTTAAGTCGAGGACAACTTTGTGGCGTTAAGTTAAAGCAGATGCAAGCCTCACCTTTTAATCTACCCTGCAAAAACACAAAATCTAGCTAAAATAATCTGCCAGTTGAATTAGTACTTCACCAGTATTAAGGAATTTTCACTTTAAGCAAACTCTTAGATCTTGTAAGTTAGTTTTGTCTTATTTCAAGTGTAATAACATACTTACACTGGAAACCAGATCAAAAATATGCAGTAAGATTTTGTGTTTTTGCAGTGTATGTGGGTTTAACTGCACTATAGTAATGCATCTGTCAAAATGTTGTCACCACACAAACTCTCTAAGTCCATTTGGAAACGTTTCATTTTACCATAAAGCATCACTCCAAACTGGTGCCACATGTACAAATGTTGATAGAGCTGAAGAGAAGTGTTCTCTGTCATTTGGCTCAGACATGGAGAAAAAAAAGTCCCTGCAGCAATAGTTGAAGGAAAATATTTGCAGAATGCAGATTCCTACAAAATGGTTAAACCTAAAGTCTCCAGTTTCCAGAATGTGTAACCACATATTTCCTTATGGTTAAACTGACAATAAACTGTCAAAATACTAGGTTGAAGATTATTTTCACTCAACTATCTGGTCCTCAATGCTCCTTTTTATAGTTTCTATCCCTGGAGCTATTGACCTGACAGATACTTGTTAAAGCAGGCGGTGGGGAGCTCTTATTGTGAAAAGCAGGTGAATTACAGTGACCTAAAGAGGAAAAATAAGAGGTTGGCTCTCCAGCCAGGAGAGCTGTAATCCCTGAGGAGATAACATGTGGTAAACCTTGACGAGGAAACTCAGAGAGAGAGAGAGAGAGGGGGGGCAGTGGAGTTAAAAAGCACAGAGATGTTTTTTTCTTTTGGCATTTAGGAGCTGATGGCCCTGACGGTGTGACCAGTGGAGCACAAACACAGACAGCTCAGAGGAAAATGGAGGTAAATGTTGAATACCTGCTGGCCTCTGCAGCCAACCAACCTCAACACCGACCCTGGCGATGCTGTATCAAATATTAAGCCTTGCGACTCAAACAAAAACAGGTTCTTTGAGCTGTTCATGTGATGATGAGGAGAATAACGCGTCCTCCGTGGCATTTACAACCTGCATCTCCAGCTAAAACCATAGTTACACAACACGATTTGCTGCCATTGATAAGTCAACTCATCATTTATAAACTCAAGTTAAGCTTATGTAGTAATAAAACTTTTAGATGATCTGACAAAAAGGAAAAATGGAAGAGAGTAAATACTGCATGCACTTGCACACTACTTGATTTGGGACATCTAGGTTACATTAAAATTTAAGTGGTTTGTGTGAACTTTTGCAGGTTTTTTTTTTACTTTTTAGTAAGAAAAAAAAATGTTCTCAGTTTTGAAAAATGACTGAAAAAATATTATTTTTCTTACAGAAATTAAAAAAAAATTCTGCCAGTAAAACAAGAAGTTATTCAGCAGCCAAACAGAGTTGCAGTGACATTTGATTGATGGGGAATATTTTTTCTGTACATTCAAATTTCCGCCTGGACATCCATCACTCAGCCTCTTGACATTTCGTCGGCTGGCACAATGTCAAGTTTATCTTTTTGCTGAGGTGACAAATGGTAAGTTCGACTGCATTAAGGAGTCCAGAAGAAGATTTGAAACAATATTTGGAGAGAAGAAGTCAAGTCCATTTAATTCGACCTGAAAAG